CATTGGCTTAAGGCCTTTGATCTGTGTTTGAGAAAAGTATCTTTAGGTAATGGTTTAGTAAACATGTCTGCTACATTTTCATTACTACTTACATACTCAATATCAAAAACTTTCTTTGCAAACAAATCTTTAATAAAGTGAGCACGAATATCAATGTGTTTTGCCCTTTTGGAATTTTCAAAATTTTTAACAGTGGAAATAGCTCCTGTATTATCAATTTTTAAAATTGGAGTTTTGGATGAAAAATTAGCAATGTCATTTAAAATACCTTTAAGATTTACAATTTCTTGAGCTGCAATGGATGCTGCATAGTATTCAGATTCGGTAGAAGACATCGAAATACAGTTCTGTTTTTTTGAAAACCAAGCAATTGGGTTCTCTCCGTGAAATGCGATGCATCCACTAACACTTTTCCTGGTTAACTTGTCGGTTCCCCAGTCTGCATCCGAGAAACATACCAGTGATTCAGAGTTGCTTTTCTTGAAAATGAGACCATGATTTTTAGTACCACTTAGATACCGTAAAATCCTCTTACCAGCTTTCCAGCATACTTCGGTGGGCTTGTCCAATACTCTGCTTAATACTGTAACCGCGAAAGATATATCAGGACGAGTTGTTATTGCGATGTACATTAAGCTGCAGATGAGTCGACGATATGGAATACCTTCAATGACAGGTCCATCATCGATTTGGAATCCAACTTCCATGGGTGTTGCAACGGGTTTGCAGTTTTCCATACGGAATTCTTGAAGCAAATGTTCAATCATTTTTGATTGATTAACGATGATGCAATTTTCAGTTTGGTGAATTTGCATGCCTAGAAAACATTGTACGTCTTTAATGATCTTGATTTTGAATTCTTTGGAAAGAATTGAGAGTAAAGCATCGACTTTTTCTCTTTCACCACAGACGATTGCGTCATCGACAAATACAAGCAGGTAGACACCTTGTTTATAAAATAGACAGTAATCATGACATGATCTTTGGTAACCATTCTTAGTCATTTTGTTGCTAAAAGTGTCGTTCCAACAGCGAGATGAAATGTCAAGTCCATAGAGAGGGCGATTTAATCGGTAAATTTGACTATCGCTTTCTACACCTTCAGGTTTCTTGATGTATGAGTAGAATCAAATAAGTTTTGCTCTTGGAGCCATCGTTTTTTAAAAAAGTGACTTTAGTTATTTTAAAACTTCAGCATGTTTTCTGAAGTCCTCATACTCTTGGAAAGTCGATTTTAATAGTGGTCAATCTTCGTTTTCAACAGAAATTTTTTTTTGGCCTCTTTTATCACTGGAAGTTAAATTTTTTGTCCGTACCGTAGACCAACCAAACAGGCTTGTTTTCCTATCAATACGTGCGATAATAATACCGTTTTAAGTTTTTTTGCACTCATAGAGCTATATTCTTGTAGAAGAATAAAACAAAATATCCTTCAAAGTTTTTACTTTCAAAATTTAGCCCCCAAATTGCTCTAAAGTCCGATTTCTAGAATTTTGCGCCATCATTTTTCTCCTAAAAAAGCCAGGAAATGTAATTAAACGCTTAATTTTAATTGATTTCTTTAGAACTAACTTAGAAGATGTGGTAGACAACTTTTTTTAAAGAATTTCTACAGATTTGCTCTTTTTAAAGCTACAAATTGTACAATTTTTTACTGGTCTACGGTACAGGACAATAACGTTACGGTACACAAACGGGCTACGGTAAGGACGAAGAGGCATTCGTAAATATTATTGTATGCAGGGGCCGAATTATAAAGAACTGAAATTCATTGGGGAATAAACTGCTAAGTTATAGCATAGCTTATAAGTGCCACTTTTATAAATAATTACAGGCAATAAAGGTAAAAAGAGTACCTAAGTAAATCAGTTTTTCAAAAATTATGAACTGCTTTTATTTTAAAGTAAACGCATTAAATAATTAGGGACAAATCTTAGAAGCTGAGTTCTTAAAACAAGCTTGAAAACGTTAGAACGTTTTAGGTGCACTTTTACAAAATAAGAAAGAAAACAAAAAGGTAAATTTATCGAAAGTGTGGTCACAAATCACCTTAAATAAATATTTAAAGGACGATAAGAAAAAAATAAGTTAGTTATTAACGAATAAATATTAAACGAATAAATTGGTATGAACTTCAGACGAAAAAGAGGACTCAAAGTTCTAAAAGACAAAATGAAAAAAATAAAAAGATGGCGATCCCTATGCAATCATCGAAAAAAAAGCCTCCTTCTTCTAAGTCGCGTCGTACTAAAAAAAAATACGTCTCCCTTTTTTTTTAAATTCCAAATTTTGGTGATAGATAAAATAACGTAAAGTGGGATGATCTATCAAACAGTGCACCGATATGTGGATGACTTTCGCATTTTGTCCGTACTTACCGTAGACCCGGCCGCATCGCGCGTCAGCTACGGGCTACGATACCGGACGGCTACGGGCTACGGTACGGACGGCTACGGTGCGGACAAATCGTGTGATTATTGGCAATGGTGCTCGGGCATATTCACGCATGTGGTTGAAATTCTGGATTTGAGGTTAAGACATCAGAGCGTATCAAAAAATACCAAAATTCGAGAGTTTGAAGTGATTTATGCATTAAAAAGGTAGGTATACGGTAAGGACATCCCAGATGGTCGTTAAACCTAGAAACTCATAAAAAACGGTCAAAATTTACTGTTTCACTGCGGTTTTTTTTCCTCTGCTCGACATCAGCGTGTGATAGTCACGATAACGCAAAAAAGTAAACAAAGTTCATAAGTGCTGCACTCTAACGGAAGAAATGATGCTGAAAAAAGGGGGCTACGGTACAGGACGCGAATTCCGCAGACAAGGCTGCTTGACGCAAAGACGGTCAATATTTTCACTTATTTGGATGAATATAACTGAAAATAATAAGTTAGGTACAAGTTGAGTGTGAATTTACAGCAGAAGTGGAAGTATTTAGATGCAAGATGATGGTTATATAGCGTTAAAGTTGCGCACTTGAGTCACAGACAGGCTACGGTACAGGACATTTCAGCTGTTTAGGGCCAAAATTCTGATATTAAATGGCAAAAACTGCCTAAAACGATGTTGGGATCTGATTAAGCGTAAAATTTTAAACAAATTAAAAAAAAAAAAGGTCAGATTTTTCCATTTTGAAGAGCTAAAAAGTCGACAGACATGGTAGAGCAAAACTTATTTGATTCTACTCGTATATTTCTGATTCTAGATTCCCATTCAGGAATGCCGTGGGGACATCGATCTGTCGGATGGTCCAGTTATTTTGTACCGCTTGAGACAGTAAAATTCTGAAAGTAGATTGTCTGCACACTGGTGCATATGATTCATCCTTATTGTGCGCTGATTTCATTTGGAAGCCTTTTGCGACCAAACGAGCCTTTTTTGTACCGTCTTCTTTGGTTTTGAAGATCCAACGTGTATCAATAGCGATTTTGTCTTTTGGCAGCTTGGCTGGAGACCATGTACCTAATTTCTCATGGACAGCAAGTTCCTTGTTGATAGCTTCATTCCACTCTGGGTCGGATTTGGCTCCTTTGAACGTTTTAGGGTCGGCTTGATATGTTAACATACAATAATTAACAGACAATTCATATTCATGTAAATAAGAAGGAATTTTTGTTGGTCTACCACATTTTGTTATTTTCATTTCATTTTTATTCGAGGGTTCAGGATGTTTTTCTTCAGTATCTTGATCAGGATCAATTTGTTGATTATCTTCTTCATACGTAACAAGGATATCCTGGGTTTCTTCCTTATTGGAAAACGAGTCGTTTTGACGATATTCCATTATGGATTCGTCAAATCTGACATCATGAGAGGTGATAACTTTTTCCTCTTCGGGTAATCAGATTTTATAACCACCTCCACAATATCCAATCATAACGCCACGTTTGGCGCGAGGATCAAATTTAGAACCTTTGGGTAAGATTGTTGCCCAAGCTCTACATCCAAAAATCTTCAGCTTGCTGATATCTTGTCTCTTATTCCACAAGAGGGAAGGGGTTTCACCTGGCTGTAAACTTGACGATGGAGAACGGTTCAGTTCATAAGCACTACATTGGACAGCATGACCCCATAGAAATTTCGGTAAACCTGAGTCTAGGAACTTGGTCCTTACTTTGTCTTGTAGCGTTCTGTTCATCCGTTCACTTTTCCCATTCTGAGATGGGCTGTAGCTTTGCGTATACTCTATTTTCATACCTCTTTTACGCATTGAGTCTTTAAAATTGTTGGACCAAAATTCACCACCTCTATCTAGACGTATTCGTTTGACTCTAACGCCTTTTTGACATTCTACTTCATTTATAAAATCGAAAAGATCGTTGCTTTGCCTTCAACACAGGTGGAACATATTCCTTTCGTTTCTGGTAATTTCAGTGTACGTAGACTGGCATTACAAATGTGACCAAGACGACGATGCCACAAGTCTGCCACTTTTCTGTTGCTTAACAAACAATTATCCTGTGCAACTTGACCATCAAGAATAAATAGGCCATTATCATAGGAACATACCATCTTCCATCCTATTCCACAAATATTTACATTTTCTCTACTGAAAATAACTTTATGGTCCTTTGCCAGAAGTACTCTAATGGATAGTAGGTTATGTTTTATCCTCTCTCACTATCAGCGCTTCAATTACTATTGTTCTGTTCTGACAGAAATATCTCAGTTTCCCCTTTGCTCCTGCGTTCATTACTTCACCATTAGCTATCTCAATTGTGGATTCGTTTTCAAATTCATTGATATCGTACATGTTCTTAGCGGTTTCTAATGTAACCATGTGATTGCTTGCGCCTGAGTCTAGAATGAAAATATTACCTTTTGAGGATGATGAACTGCTTTCGGTACTCTTGAATGCTACGAATGAAATCTCAGACGAGGAGTGAGCTGACTCTTGTTTTGACTCCCTTTTGTTCCAATTACCTCTACCGCGTTGATTCCATCCACGCTGATTACCTCGGCCACGGCCTCGACCATTGTGGTATTGACCACGTCCATTATGCTGTTGGTTGCTATTATTTCTGTCTTGCTTGGGGCAGGATCTGGCTAGATGATTTGTGTCGCCACAAATATAGCATCCACTGTAGTTGTTTGAGGCTTTGAAACTAACTTCACTTGAATCATTTTTAAGTTGATTCTGTTTGCGGCTTTTAATCTTTAACTCTTCGTCCAATAGTCTTGCTTTGATAAAGTCTAATTTAATATTAGGGACCGTTTCGAGGGCTGTGATAACGGTGTCGTACTCAGAACTGAGAGTGATGAGTAGAAGGCAAATTTTATCAGACTCATCGATTTTCGTTCCGATTTCTTCTAATTCCCTGTTAATTTCATCGAATTTCATGAAGTGGTCCTCTAATGTGTCAGAGGATTGACATTTCAACGTGAGTAATTTACGCTAGAGAGTCAATTTCGAAAAGGCACTGTTTCTGACGAAGACAGCTTTTAATGCTTCCAACATTTTCTTGGCAGTCTTGGAGTCCTTGATGATATCCAAGTGTTTGTCTTTGATACCCTGTATGACAATACCTTTGGCCTTAGCATCTAAAACATCAAAATCCTTCTTACTTTTGGCAACAGCATCTGCTTCTGGGTCGTTGTCCACTACGTCGAGAAGATGTTCTCTTTCCAAGATCGAGCGAATCCTGAATTGCCAGTTGTTGAAATTAGTGCCGGAGAACACTGGCACATTGATAAATTTCACATTATCATTCATGATTATTGATTGCAATAATTCAAGGGTCCTGGAAGAAGTACGTTTAGGTTAGACTTCGACTTCATACACTGGCGAAAAATTGCACATTTAAACCCGAAACTTGCTAACACTAATATCTTGAGTGCAAAACTAAAGGCCCATAACCTTTTGGGTGAAATAATTGAAATTAAGTTTTTAATTTATTTATTCTTTACTTTATTCAATGAGAATGGAATACAGCTTACTGTAACAGGCACATGATGGAAGATTCTAGAACAACAATGCATTCTGGGTAGAGTGGGGAGATGTATGACAAATGGCATACCCTGCTAAATTAAGGAGTAACATGCTTGTTTAGAAATATATCCTATAACATGTGTTTCAGGAACGAGATGTGATGGCGTGAAGTTGAGCGGAGGGCAGCTGCGGGCCGATGGCAGCCGACCGTGACGGCCCAGCAGTCGCAGAAGGTTTGCAATGGAACGATCAAAGCCCAGCAGGGCCAGGCCCCCCAACAACGCCGCAAAGTTTGGAACCGGGCCCGGGACCCGTACCGAGTCCTGGGCCCGGAGCCGCAACTACCGCCTCGGAGAAGGAGAAGGAGAAGGAGAACCACTTCCTGTCGACTCCCTTTCAACCGCCCCTTATGCTCCAGCAGCAGAGACTTCACTCCCGCTCCCTATCCTCCCTTCCGCCGGAGCCATTCATGATCATGCGCTCCAAAGCCTTGAACCGCCGAGTCTCTATCAATGTTGGAGGCGTCAAACACGAGGTCAGCAGCATTAGTAATAGTTGTCATTTCATCAAGCGAAATTAGTCAGTCGAAGTTCATAGGGCAAACACGACTAGATGTAGAGTAAGTGGGTGAGTTCAAATAAGCGTCTAATACAGGGTGTTTCAGACCACCCGTACCAGGCCTTTTTCTTGGTTGGTTTAGGTCTCACGAAGTCGGAGACTGCGGGGTTGAATAGGGAATTGACCCCAAGGAATCCGAATTTTGTGGTCCCGAAACCCCCCCACCACCCCTTGGGGGGGTAAAGGGGGGGTCACGATGCTAAAATTCACGGTTCCCGACCGAATTGCGGATCGATCGCATCAGAATTGAAAAGCACGGAAAATTTCACGTGGAATTGACCCCTAAAAATCCAAAATCGGACCATCCAAGGCCAATAAATGATCCCCTAAAGAGGGGGACAGTACCCCCCTCCATAATTTCTCTTTGGTCTCAAAATTGACGTAAATTCTCCAGAAAAGACGGTTTCCCAGGTAATCAACCTCGAGAAATCCAAATTTCATGGTCCGGAAGCTCCTCTAGCCCCCCTTGGGGAGTAAACGGGGGGGCCCAATTTTAAAAATCGGGGCTCCTTTCCGAATCGCAAATTGATTGCATCCAAATTGAGGAGCAGAACACATTTACATCTTAAGTGACTCCTAAGAGTTCTAATAGACCCCCTGAACGGCAGAAAGCAACTCCCTGAGGAGGGGGGGCTTCGTCCCCACCTAAAATTTCTCAAGATTCCTGAATGGTCGCAAAATTGACGTCGATTCTCCAGAAAAAGACGGTCTCCCATGTAATCGACCCCAAGAAGCTCAGGGAACATGAAATTTAGAGTCCTCGGGGTCGATTACATGGGAAACTGTCTTTTTCTGGAGAATCGAAGTCAATTTTGCGACCAAAGAGGAATCCTGAGAAATTTTTGGCGGGGGCGAGGCCCCCTTCCTCAGGGGTTACTTTCTGCCGTTCAGGGGGGTCCATTAGAACTCTTAGGAGTCACTTAAGATGTAAATGTGTTCTGCTCCTCCATTTGGATGCAATCAATTTGCGATTCGGAAAGGAGCCCCGATTTTTAAAATTGGGCCCCCCCGTTTACCCCCAAGGGGAGCTGGAGGAGCTTCGGGACCATGAAATTTGGATTTCTCGAGGTCGATTACCTGGGAAACCGTCCTTTTCTGGAGAATTTACGTCAATTTTGAGACCAAAGAGAAATTATGGAGGGGGGTACTGTCCCCCTCTTTAGGGGATCATTTATGGGCCTTGGATGGTCCGATTTTGGATTTTTAGGGGTCAATTCCATTCGATCGATCCGCAATTCGGTCGGGAACCGTGACTTTTAGCATCGTGACCCCCCCTTTACCCCCCCAAGGGGAGGGCTGGGGGGGGGTTTCGGGACCACAAAATTCGGATTCCTTGGGGTCAGTTCCCTATTCAACCCAGCAGTCTCCGACTTCGTACGACCTAAACCAACCGAGAAAAAGGCCTGGTACGGGTGGTCTGAAACACCCTGTATGGTGTCCCCAGCTGTTTTAATCGTCATAATCTGAGAAACATGGGCAGATCAAATTTTTTTCTCATTTTCCACACTATTGTTGACTATTACATGCTATTTCCAACTTTATTTTGACTGAAATATAAATTTAGGAGAACTTTGAATGTGCAAATTGCCTACATTTGTCCCAAATTTACGTGTCCCCCGTGCCTGGTTCCTGACTTTAAATCGATGTTGCAGCATAACTAGAGTGATTATATAAGAAAACTTTATCGGAAATGATAGGTAATGCTTTTGAATTTGAGAAAAAAAATATGTCAATTTATTTTGTGCTCCATCAATAACTTTTTCACGCGCTAGAATCATTGTCCCGAGCAACAGTCAGCAACAGTCAGGAGAAACATGGCAACGATGTAATAAGTTCTAAATGATTGCCGTAACGTTGAGGTTTTTCCAAAAACGACTTCTTTTGTTTTGATTGAATAGTTCTCACGTCGTACATGGCAAAAATTCTGAAATTCGCAAATTTTTGTGCAAGATTAACGTCATTAATGATGCCAAACAGAATGCTATACACGATAACTAACAGGGCGTCAAGCATACACCCACACACTAATATCAGCTCGTAAAATACTTCCGAAGTGTGCGTTAGGGAACATTTTCTCTTATACCGATCCTCTAGGACGTGTTACTAAATATTCCGTGAAAAAAACCACCAAAATTGTCTTTACTGTTAGAGAAAAGCTTAAAAAACAGCTTATTCCATCCTGTCCCGTTCCATCTTGTCCCGTTCCATCCTGTCCCATGTCCGAGTTTAGTGGGACAGAGTGGAAAACTGTTACAACTGAGACTTGCTTATTTAAGCCCTGTAGGCGCTCTTTCCTACCGATTTAAGTGAAACTCAGTACCGGGGGGTATTTTTCAATGGGGAACTCGAATTTTTAGTCGAATTTTGAAAATTCGAAAATCCAAGATGGCGGACATTGCCTAAAATGCTATCGCAGCGCCTAATCATCTGAGGCGTGTTTGTTTAAGCCCTGTAGGCGCTCTTTTCGACCGATTTAAGTGAAACTTGGTACATCGGGGTATTTTTTGATGGGAAACTTGAATTTTTAGTCGAATTTTCGAAATTCGAAAATCCAAAATGGCGGACATGACCTAAAATGCTATCTCAGCGTCTAATCATCTGAGGCGTGTTTGTTTAAGCCCTGTAGGCGCTCTTTTCGACCGATTTAAGTGAAACTTGGTACATCGGGGTATTTTTTGATGGGAAACTTGAATTTTTAGTCGAATTTTCGAAATTCGAAAATCCAAAATGGCGGACATGACCTAAAATGCTATCTTAGCGTCTAATCAATCGATTTTCGCGAAACCTATTCCCGGGGGTATTTCTGAATGGGAAACTCGAATTTTTAGTCGAATTTTCGAAATTCGAAAATCCAAGATGGCGGACGTTGCCTAAAATGCTATCTCAGTAACTAATTAATTGATTTTAATGAAACTGGACCGGAAAACCTTCGCATTAGGAAAAGAAAGGAAATTTTAATAGGGGTGCAATACATGGTTTCTATGTATCTTAGGCTACGAAATCGAACAATTCCTGGGTTTTTTCCATCGTGCACAGATTCTCCCGGAAGATTGACTCTGTTGGAAAAGCTAGATATATATATATATATATATATATATATATATATATATATATATATATATATATATATATATATATATAACTAACAGATGAGTTTACATAACATATGATCACACGGTGACAAATTGTAACTTCAATACGGTTATCTTTAGAGCCGCTTCACTTAGAAATTTAAAATTTTGGGAATATTTATCGAACATTAAGAGCTACTTTTTAACAATTTTTACAACATTTCTGAGCTGAGATTACACCCTTATGTTTAAAATTCTACCCGAAACTCATCAAAGGATAAAAAGGGGGAGGGGGAGTTCAGATTTTTTATCACCTTGTATAACTTTGGAGTGAGTTGGTTGCAGTAGTTGATATGGAATTTTTTTGCGGGCAGGTCTTGTGGCGGACACTGGAGCGGCTGCCGCACACGCGGCTCGGTCGACTAAGGGACTGCAACACGCACGAGGCAATCACGGAGTTGTGCGATGACTACTCGCTTGTAGACAACGAGTATTTTTTCGACCGTCATCCCAAGTCTTTCTCCTCCATCCTCAACTTCTACCGCACCGGAAAGCTGCACCTTGTCGACGAGATGTGTGTCCTCGCCTTCAGTGACGACTTGGAGGTAAATTATCAGAAAAGATCCAGACTGCATGGGAAACTTCCTCACAACTAGCTAACGATAAGATAGGTTTTTTTTTTCTTCCTCATTAATGAAAAATACAAATCTATTAACACGTAACAATTACACGGGACCCCTTAGGGTCAAAATAATTTTTCTGCACTTGTAGTAAAAACTGAATTCATACTTATGAGTAAAGAAAGAGGAATTAACCTGATAGGATGGGCGCGAAACCATTTGGTGTCGGTCATATTGTCAGAGTTCTGATGACCTTCAATGAGAGAGGGATATCTAGTTTAAATAGAGTAACAGTAATAATAGGAATACAAATAAATGTAGCAAATGAAAATAAAAGTATAAACTTACGGGATGACTATTCACAGTGGTAAGACATAAATTATCAATGGTAGGATAAAGGTATGTAAAAGATTCTATAAAGTATAATCCCGACACTGCAAAAAAGGGGCGGTGGTGGTGGGAGGAAGGGGGCTTGAGAGGGCTAGGGAACAGGAAAGAGACAGGTCTAGAGAGAATGAAAGGCCTGCAAGAAATAAAATAGGTCCCTGAAGTTTGAAATTTTGAACGATGTTCATGAAAATATGGATATGGATTCATGTCATGAACTAAGTTATAGAGTAATGTTTGAGGAAATCCTCACAAGGTCGTGCGGATTTCGGCGTTTAAGCCTGCTGGTGCACCCTGCCCAGTCTTAAAGTGCGAATGCTTCCGAATTTGGGTGGCTGCGTAGCCGCCATTCATAGGATCTGATAGAAATGTACGATGCTACCAATTGTAGGTACACCGAGCTCTTCGTAGATATCTTGATTCCGTTCGCACCTTTAAGAGTTGCCTATTTGTTTAAAGATTTTGTTTTGTGGGGTTTGAATCTTTAAAAGGTTGGATGTGGCCGCGGAGCCCCTTGGGCATTCGTATGCTTAAATGGGTCGGATGGTGTTCTTATATAGAAGAATCTTTAGTTGTAATGATAGCCTCGATTTTCGGTCGATAAGCCATACCATTTCACGAATAACTTAAAGTTGATTTGAGCAATTTCTTTTTCAATCTGGATTTTACAACGCAGTCATTCATCCAGATGGAGACCGAGATACCTGTAAGATTTTTCGCGAGGCATTGCGTGATTGTTAAGAGTTAATGAAAAAATGAGCAATTTACGTTTATTAGTAAATATGATTTCAATTGATTTGGAACACTTCAGCAATATTTTATCCTTTGCTGTCCATTTTTTAATCCTATTTACATTGTATCGCACCTTGTTGTGGGCAGTTTGGTAGTCTTTGGAGGAAATCGTTATCATTGTTCCGTCAGCGAAAACTATCTCACCCTCATCATCGGGAGGAGGGACATCGGCAGTAAGTAAGGAATATAAGAGAAGGGAAGAAAACAGAGCCCTGCAGGACACTGCGGCTCCTATTGATCCAAAATTCGACAGGGCATCCTTAAATCTAAAACGAATTATGCGATTTGTCACGTACAACAAGACGTGCTTTTTAGGGAACTTTCGATAAAAATTGTCAACCAACTTATGGTGCCAAACTCTATCAAACGTAGTATAATGAAAGTTCAGACTTCAGCACAAAAGTTTATGGCCAAATTGTGCGGAAAAATATGAATAAAATTACAGGGTATTGGACAATGTGGTAACGTTGCCAAAAGTATTGTATCTTGCCCCTTCATTTTTGGGTTCTATATATGAATATTACATATTTCGCTTTCAATTTACGGGTTATATATATACTAGGGGGCTACGCCCCCTGGCCGCTACGCGGCCCAACCCCCCGAAGGCGCTCCGCGCCATCGATGGGCCGCTTCGCGGCCCTATTTTTACCCTCCTATTAGTATTAGTTTTATTTTTCCCCTAAAAAAATTCGATATGAGGTATACTTAATAAAATGAAATAATTTTTGGTTTTGATGAATAAAGAAAAAAAATTTTTTTGAAGTAAAAAGGACGCGTTTTGGAATGACTGCTTGATGAAATATTACAGTAAAACAACGAACAGTTTAAATCAGGTAATTATTAAGTATCTCTGGAGTCTGGGATCGAACCCACACCTTGATCAATGAAGACGCTTCCGACGTCGTAGACGACTCGGCCACCGCTAATCTTGAGATAACCGGCGGAAATCTTGTGTAGATAAGTGTAGAGGTGATGCGCAGGCTACCCAGCTACTGCGCAACCTCCTCGACCATTGCGCATCCTCCCGCGCATAGCGGTAGCAGTACCGGAGCATTCTGTAAACTCACTCACTTTTATAACGTGATTTTAAAAAAACCTGGGTCCTTTTTCCAAAATCTGATTGCAGCGGGCTCATTTAGGGCCTATTACCTGTCGATTTACGCAAAAATCATGGAAATCGGCCCGGTAGAACGCTCAAACGAACTATGACAAAAAGTATAAATTTACATTGTTTAAATGGGAGAATTCGCAACTTTACCACGTAATATAAAAAAACCTGGGCCATAGTTTGAAAATCTGAAAAGAGTTGGCTTATCTAGAGGCAATTGCCCGTCGATAGCCGCAAAAATCATGAAAATCGGCCCGGTAGAACGCTGGAACTAAGCGTTACCAGTTTCGCAAAATTAGGAGGTCTTGGAGCTTATAGTATAGATTGAGTATTACATATTGCCCTCCAATCTGCGGGTTATGCAATGCCGCATGTTGCCCCTTCAATCTGCGGGTCATGCAATGGTGTATGTAGCCCCCTCAACTTAAAGGTTATGCAAAAGCGTTGCCAGGCGTTGCAAAAATTAATAAATGCTTTAATTATTGGTGAAACTTGACAAAATCGAAGTTCACGGTGTTGCCAGATGGCGCGAGAACATAAATAATTTGTATGCATAGTGTTCCCAAATTGTGCTAAAATTTAATGAAAATCTGACATGGGATACTTCGGAATGAGGTAAATCAAATCCGGATGGGTATGGTATTGCAAACTTCAGAGCAGCGTATTATTCGGGAATTTTAATTTTAAGTGGCAGGGCGGTGTGTATCAGAAACTTAGACTTTGGTATTGAGTACTTTGGAATAAGCTTTTGAGTTCGGATATTGCAATTTTAAGTTTAATGAATCAAAAAATTATTTTTCTTTGGAAAATTATTATTGCCGATTAAAAACGTCCATGTTTAAAAACGTTTATTTAAAAAACATCCACGTTTAATAACATATATGTTTAAAAAGTCCGTGTTTAAGAACGTCAATGTTTAAAAACGTACAAGTTTAAAAGCGTCATCGTTATAAAAAGTTAATGTTGTCAACCACAAACATCGATCCCATTTCCTTCTGTGAACTTTAAATCGACGCTTATACCATTGAATTTTCGATCTTTTTTCTAAAGGGACCTCCTGGTGAAACGAAACTTGCAGTCAGACGATAGGCACATGGAGTACACGTACGGAACGGAACAAATGAGGGCCAGTAAAGGCAAGATGAATAGAAAAACATCCGTCAAGGTAGAAGGTGCGCATTTGATTTCCACGCAGATCGGGCACATTATGATGTTTGCTTGGGATGAGTTTTCGACCACTGTGGAAGTTTGGAATACACTCCAACGTCGACGACGACGACGACGATAGTGATGATAATTATTTTATCGTTCATGATTTCTTCCTGATGATACTAAAAAGAGAATGAATCAATGCAATGCATATGAAATCCTTACTATCGATCCAAATGTTTCGACTCGCGTCTAGACCCAATCATTTGACGGAGGCCCAGTTTATCTTACGACGCATTTCGTCCACAAGGAACGTACCCTTATATAGTTGGTGGGTTTGAATTCTTCGTGGTAGAATTTTCCTTTGTTGATCGTATCGTGCGCGTCTATAAGATCGCACTTGATCGGAGCGGTCGGATTGACGCTGACAATCTTAAAAATTTCCGTGCACCAGTTTGGTGTGTATCCTTTCTCGAACATGGCTTTGTCTCGAGATTTGGACGTGATCACCGACTTGCAGTTTCCGTTTGACCAAACGTCTTTTTTCAGTATTACTCAGCGGCAACCTACGAACCTTATGCAGGATCATCGGCACATTCTTTTCGGTAACATAAATTGGTTTCATTCCGATGGTGCGATGAATGCTCCCGTTATATTCACGCATGAGTTTTGGTAATAGATCTACCCCCTTGTACCATCCTTGCGCGCTGAACTCTTTTCACACACTGAAAAAAATGTTTCCTAAATACAAGGCGAAGCCGTCTTAAACCAAGTAAACTGGATACTTAAAAAGTATCGACAAGAAACGGAGGTTTGAACTAAGACAACGGAGTTACCTTGGATCAAGAAATAGCGTTTTCTCAATCCAACGCTCCACGTCCCCTTAAAAGAAGAAAGCGTTTACTTAAAAAAAGGAAACATTCCATGCCGTGAAAATATTTCCTAAANTCCGTGCATTTTCTTTTTGAGCGTTCGGTCGAATCACTCGACAATAGAGGCTTCGGTTGTAGAGTACGAGCTGTACATATTGATCTTGTGACGCTTTATCAATGCTTGACATTTTGAGTTGTAGAATTCCGAATCCATATCGACTTGTAAATGTTTCGGTGACTTTCCGGCTGCTTTAAGAACGCGTTGCATGGCATCGATGACATCCGTTGCCGTTTTCAAATTAAGTGGTTTTGGCCCACGCCTTTTTCCAGCACGCATCGATGACGTTGAGAAGACATTTGTTTCCTTTGTTGACCTAGGCCTACGGTTGCATCTCGACAAGATCGGCTTGCCATAAATCGAACAATCCGAGAATCCGTACTTTACGACGCGGAAAATTCCGTCTTGCAGCCCTGCTACAAATGAACATGTTGGTAACAAATTGGTCTGGCCCAATATGGTAGCAAAATGGTGAATGGAACCTGATATCAACATGTTATCACCATGATATCAACATGTTATCACCATGATATCAACATGTTACCACCATCATATCAACATGTTATCACCATGATATCAACATGTTACCAATATGTTATCACACACTGAAAAAAAAAGT